AATATTTTATTAAATATAACAATAATGTCGAATGAATATGAAAGAGCTATGATGTTTGATATTGCTAATATAGAGAGGCAAGAAGCTCAAAATGTCAGACAACCGTTTGGCATTAAAATAGACCCTTTATTAGCATTAAGTGATCATCTTTTTATAAAAACTTACCGATTGAGTAAAGTTTTAACAAAATATTTAATCGAGTTAGTCACTCCATTTATGGAACCACCAAAACGTACGTCGGCTTTGAGCATCCAAAATAAGGTAATAAATAATAATTAATAACAATAATAAGGTAGGTTTGATTAGTAACAATCAGTATCAATCACGAATTAAGATATATCTTAATTCGTGGTATCAATATATCATATTTTGGCGGAATATTTCTGATAATAAATGAATTTTAGGTTATACCATTGTGGTTCACTCGACAAGATTATTACTAGTCGACATAATCTCGAATGCGACTAATTTTAGTCGAATGCTTTTGGAGAATAGCGTTTTGCAGTCGACTACGACATAATCATTCGAGTTTAGTCGCACACGACTTCTTGTCGATCGATCTCGAGAATAGAACCCCAGACCCTGCGAGAGACAGCGCATCGCCACTCGGCAATTCACTGTGTAAAACAATTGACTCATCAAAATTGTCTTCGTTCTCGTCGTCCTTTCCGGTTGCTCCTTCTAGTGGAGCGTCGTCCGGAATCGAAGGGGTTTCTTCTGGCTCTGGCCCTGGGGACTGCACGTCGCCACTGGAAGTCGTATCCATACCAATGGAAGATAGAAGATCTGTTACTAATCGTATGAGGTTTTCGTCGTCGCTCTCATCTTCATAAACGCCTTCTATTATACCGATTACAATGACTTCGAGAATTTCGAGTAATGAGGCCTGTACCTCGTTGCTGTTATTGTCGACAGTCATTTTTTATTTGCACGTAGATAGGTATATGTGTCAGTTGTAATTGACAATTGCTAGTGAGCTAAATACAAGTCTCCCAACACAGAGATCGATCAATTCTAAAATCTCCCAGGCGACGACTTGTATCTATATATTGTTATATATAGCCAGATAGTACGTTCATCGTTCATCGGCTCACAGCATTACCTTTTCGAGCCCGTTAATTTTTCTAAAGACTATTATAAATTATTATTATTATCATTATTATTGATATAGTATAGGTAGGTACCTAATATTCTGGTATTACGATTTGTATTACTCTGTGACTCGATGTATACTAAAAAGGCTTAGCCGCCCAGAATCTTAAAGTTAATTTGTTTGTAAAGTTAAATAATATATAACTGATAATATTACATTTGTGTCACCTTTTTGACTTAATCCTAATTGAATATTTTACACTTTTTGTGTGTTATTCATGACATTTTGATATTATCTTCAAGGCCGCAGTTGGAACAAATTTTCGTGAGGGGTTTAAAACTAAATTATATATTTTCATGATATAAAAACCAACTAAAAAAGAAATTTATATATTATAATAATTATATAAATAATGTTTTTTATAGATAACCTACCTACATGTGTGATAAAATGTGTATTTTAAATTAAATATTTTTATAGTATAAAGTCTAATAGTTTTTTGCGAAACAATCGTCATCTAGATTAATTTAAATTTGTCTATGTAAACATTGTAAACTAATATACACTCAAAAGAGCTAAAAGTGTAAAGGTCCTGTCACAGTATCACACACGCATCCGATCCGTCAGGGCATCCGTGTACTAGGAAATACGAACTTATTGTTTTTTAATGGATATTTTATTCATACTCATCCGAGCTGAATCCGGTCTGAGCTTTCTGAGATCACTCCGATGAACTTGATCTGAAGAGTTTCGTTAATAGTTTTATTTAATCTTTTCACGGTAGAAGATATACCTACGTCCTGGTGATGATGTCGTAACTGGTAATGTATCTCATAGTTTCAAAAGAAAATATATAATTGGAAAAAATTCATAATTTAAAATTGGGAAGTTGATTTCTCCCAACTACCTAGCACTTTGTTTTAGAAACTTAAAAATTTCACATATAGATATTTTGCTCGGAAATGTTCAGAATTCGCATATAGGTACCCTTGGCGTTTTACCAGAAGTCAGAAATCATAATTGTTTAGTGTAAGTATGTATTATCGTCATTTTAGAACTACCACTTTAAACCAAGGATAGGTATATGTAGATTCTGAGTATCCTTCCAAGTAAAATTTAGCAAATTAATTGCACAATATCTTTGCAGTTTTTAAGTTTCCTGGTCAAAGAGGGAGGAGGGAAACTTTACAGATATATTGTGACCGATATCTAATCTGCAGAACAAAAATTAATTTCAATTTTAATTCGTATTAAAAAATTCCTATATAATATATTAAACGGGCTAAAGTACCTATAGTAACCCTAGCGTACGCAGCGCAGCCTGTGGTCGTTTAATCGTGCGACTCGTTTCGGTACGTTTTTTCATGTGGGCGGCCGTAGACCGTAGCCCGTTAGAGTTTGGTCTCCTAAACTCAATTTTATTATAATATTATAATATCCTTATTATATATTATAATATTATTATATGTTCATACTTCATAGTCTCCTTATTCTAGTTGTATTGTAGCAATTTTAAACAGATTATTAGAAACAACAGAACAAGTAACTGCACAACAGAACGTAGTATGGACGCTATCAAATCTTTGTCGGGTATAAGTCTAGTTTACCGGGTAACCTTTTTTTTTGAAAAGGGTTGTTTTGACGAGTTAAGAACGATGGGGCAAAAAAAAAATGTGTACAAATGATTATTTTGGAAGTTATAGCTTCCCAAAGTTAACGACTGTACGTCTGTACGTTTATACGAGTGCGCGCAACACAACTATAATGCCGAGCGGAGGACCTCGAGTTTGGCGACCGGAGGACTTTTTTTAATTGTTTATATCTTTTATGATAACTGATACAACAATTAGTAATCACTAATTACCTTGTGAACTACTTGAGGTGTTGACGTGTTGTTGCATAGCAAGCCGAGGGATATTTTCGATTTGCGAAACTGTGTAATCACTGCCCTATTTGAAGCACTGTAGGTAATTAACTATAGGTAATCTGGTTATCTATAAAAGATATATTTAATAATATAAAAAAAAATAATAAAATAAAAATTAGACATAATAAAACAATACATTCATCGTTCCCCTCAGAATCTAAAATGGGACTTGTAACTTTTAAAATAAAAGGCTCCTAGTACATTGTTTCAAAGACAGATGAAAAATATTACAAATATTTAGTCAGTTTTTTTTGATAAGCATTTAAAGTTCAAAAATTGACAAAATATGGAAAAATCACGAAAATTAGCAAATTATTTTGAGTTAAGAATTCGTAAAAATTTTTCTTTTTAAAATAAGGTTTTTATAAGGTTTTAAAATGTAATCCAAGATTCCTTATAAGATTATCTACCTTTATCAAAAAAAAATATGAGCATTTTAAATTCATATTTTTACAAAATTTGTTATTCACACGTTTTCTCATGTGATGATTTTCTTATTTTGTTGTACTTCAAAAACGAATAACTGTAGATACATGAAAATTTCCCTGAATGTTTATATTATCAATTCTTATACTTGATAAAATGTTCAAAATATTTTAACGCTTTCAGTTTTAAATTTTTCTTTTTTTTTTTCTATGAATATCAATAAAGTTTTATATGTTGGGCCAAAAAGTGTAAAAAATTAATACGAGGCTCCTGATATATTGTTACAATAGGAGTTGAAAAATATTAAAAATACATAGGCCCAATTTTTTTTATAAGCATTTAAAGATCGAATGTTGACAAAATTTATCAAATTTAAAATTGAATAATTATTTTGTTGTTAAAAATTTATAAAATGTTCAACTTTTATATCTAAGGATTGAAAATTTAAAACAAGATTCCATGTAAGTAGTTAATTCTATTACCAAAAAATCTAATAAATACACAAGCATAGTTTATTTTTATAGTCATTTTAGGTTAAAATTTGGACGAAATCACATATTAAAAACCTAGTATAACTATTTTAGTTATTTTGTTATGACTATATAATATTATTCGTGGTAACTGGAAACTTTTAAAGTATACTACAATATATCTATGATAGTATCACGGTTTGTTGTTGATGTATAACGCGTTATAAGTAGGTACACAATGGATATTGTGATATGATTAATTTAGAATTTATTATAGGTACCCATTATAGGTCAATTTTTGTTTTAATACCATAAACAAAGGTGGGAAAGTTAATGAAAATAATTAACTCAAGTTAAATTAAGTTAAGAGGACACAAGATCGATTAGTTAAAAGTTAGCAGTTAACAAATTATAAATTTAACTCGATAAGTTAAAAGTTCATATAGAAAAAATTTTAACTTAACTCAGTTTAAAAAAAGTTAATCTATTTTAGATTCTGAGTGAAACGATGAATATATTGATTTTACAATGATGTGTGTTTTTTTGGAACGAAGTTCCTTATGGGGCGTTAGGTGGATGGGAGTCGCTGGAAAAAAATCGCAACACCGAAAAGCGTAACACCGAAAAGCGTAACACTGAAAAACGCAACATTTAGAGTGGGGGGGCTGTGCCTGCCTGCTCGGCTGCCGGCTTACATATCCCCTCCTCTCATATTATCGTATGTCACCACTAGGATCGTACCATCTGGCAACCGGGTTCCATTCGCGTAGGCTACCTGGAAGTATCGTTGTGCAAAAGGCTCGGATACAGGCACCACATTAAAACAGTCGCCGCGAAAGCCGGAGCAACGGCAGCCGCGCTAGGAAGGATTCTGCCGAATATGGGAGGCGCCAGCCAGAAGAAGAGGAGACTTCTAGCAAAGGTGGTGATGAACCAGCTGTTGTACGCGTCGCCAATCTGGGCAGGCTCACTGAGCTTCACGACCAATGTCGAAACGATAGAGGGACCCCAAAGGAAAATAGCCCTAAGATATGTGAGGGCATACCGCACGGTGTCGAAGGCAGCAGCGCTGGTCGTCAGCGGTATGGTACCAGCACATCTGTTGGCAATGGAGCAACAAAAACGCTACATAAACAGATGTGAAGGCATTGAATTCAACGAGGCGGAAGAGCGGAACGCTACCATCCGTAAATGGCAAGAGGAGTGGAAGAACTCAGACAAGGGAAAATGGACAGTACGGCTAATACCAGACATTAAACACTGGCTGCTGAGGAAATATGGCAACTGCGACTTCCATTTAACACAGATGCTAACCGGTCATGGTTGCTTTGGCCAATATTTGACGAAATATAAGAAAAGACAGAGCCCGGAATGTGTTGACTGCGGTTCAGCGGAAGACAACGCGGAGCATACGTGAACAACCTGCGACTGATGGTGGCGATCAAGAAGTGAACTGGAAGTGATTCTGGCGGCCCCCATTAAGAGAGTAATTATTTTTGACGAAGCATAACTTAGCCGGTATTCGACTTAGAGACCCCGGACCAATGGGCATCTCAATTTTTTAGGCCCCAGATGAATTTTCAACATTAGGGAACCAAAGCCCCCACCCCCCCACATTTTGAGTTGAGTGTAACTCGGCCGGAATTCAAGTTAAAGACCTCGGACCAAGGGGGAACCCATTCTTATTATGAAGACTACCGTTTTCCGCTTTAGGGAACCGGGGCACCTCCTCCCCCCCTTTTGGATTTTGCTTTTTTGATGGAATTTGGTCCGGGAGAGTACTGACACCCGCCTCGCCAAGGGGAAACTCGGGGTTTTGAGTTTTTGATAGGATTTATTGGGATTTTCTTAAATATTGTTTTTATTGATAAGGAAAGTGATAAGAATTTTATTTTCAAAATAATTTTTGCCCCTTAAATTTATAAATTTATAAATTCCGTTGTGATTTCCATTTACCTTCTTCTCTATATACATACAAATCTATTAAACAAATGAAATTAAAATTTACTTTTGAAAAACGATAATCGAGTACAAGCTGTATCAACCGTATCTTTGTTACAAGAGTTCAAACGGCTTTCTTTAAATAAACTGCAAACAAGGGCGCAAACAATTATTGAATTTATGGGTAGTAATAAAAATGTCTCCTGGGGACGAGGTGGCCGTGCGGTCGCGACCGACGCCGGATCGATTCCCGGCCACTGGGCGGCATTTTTCTTTGGGCAAGTCACGGTGTCCGGAGAACAAGTGCCGCCATCCCCCACCCGGGCATGGCAGATACCTACGGGTGCCCAAATTGAAAATTCTGCCAAAACCCAACACCCACGTGTTCCTCCCTACAATACACCTACAAAAACAAACCATACAGCTAATGGCCACAGTTGCCGGGCTTACGTTCAATAAAAAAAAGGTGGGTAAGTGGATGTCGCTCTGCTGTACAGTAGGTTACAAGTGGGTCACTGTATAATGGATGCTATTAAATTTGAATTCAATGATACAATATAGGGATGCCAGATTTCAAAATAAAAAATACGGGACAAAACTATAAACAATAAAATTATGGTTGGGGGGGGAGGAGTGAAACGTTGGCCATTGGGTACCTACCATCCCAGTATGTTATAGCCTGATAAGTTTTATAAAGTTTATTTTGTTAAAAAATGCTTTAAGGGGCCTTCTCGTGTGTCTTTAATAAGGGGCAATATTTGGGAGACATGCAGTTTCGTTGCCGCCACCCATTGCATTTGGGTTAGTCGTCAATGATGATTAATGTGAGTGGGATTGTATGCGAGTATCGTGCTATCTACGCACGCACTGAGCGTGAGCGCACATTTCAACGGCATCGCCGACCAAAAATAAAATGCATGATCTTTTGCTCAAAACACGCTTTACAGAAAAAACTCTCAAGCATGGTAGATTGGTCTGATTTGATTAATTTTTTTTTCGTTAGAAAGAGGAGAATATTCTAGAGGGCTCATAGAACTTCGATTTTTAATTTCGTTGCTTAAATAAACATAATAAAAATAATAAAATCTTGTGAAAATTGGTCATATTCAAAGTCGTATTATATGGTTTAGAAATAGAATCTTGAAAATCCAGGTTCAGTGAGCCCTGTAAGAAGTGTTTCTTTAAAAAAAAAAAAAAAAAATATCGAAATCTACGAGGCATGAGGGTTTTTCCTGTAAGGCATGTTTTTGAGCAAAATAACAGGTCACTTGCAGGCCCTTTAATAATTATGTTATCAGTCAATCAGTGGTTAAAAATATTTTTGTCTTGACATTTGGAAACACATTTTGAACATTATTTATACAAATATTAAACGATCAAGTATTCTAGTTTTACGGGACATACGGGACGAGAATTTCATAATACGGGACATTTTTACGATATTGGATATGTTACGAGGACACCGGGACACTGTCATGAATTACGGGACGTTCCCGTATATCATTGTATAAGAAAAACGATTCTGAGCGAAGACGGTATGTCAGTCTAGGTTTAAGTCTTTAAGACAAATTATATACATATCTATGGTATTAAAACAAAAATTGACCTATTATAAATTCCAAATTAATCATATCACATTATCCATTAGGTACTTATAAGCGTTTTACATCAACATCAATAACAAACCCTGATACTATCATAGATATATAATATTACACTTTAGAAGTTTCAAGTAGGTACCCACGAATAATATTATATAATCACAACAAAATAACTAGGTTTTTTAATATGTAATTTCGTCCAAATTTGAACATAAAATGACTATAAAATAAACTGTGATTGTATATTTTTTAGATTTTTCAGTAAGAGAATCTTGCGTGGAATCTTGTTTTAGATTTTCAATCCTTAGCTATAAAAACTGAACATTTTATAATTTATTAATTACGATGATTAATAATTTTCGAGATTTTGAAAAATTCTGTCAAAATTCGATGTTTAAATGCTTATAAAAAAAAATTGTGCCTATGTATTTTTAACATTTTTCAACTGATATTGTAACAATATATCAGGAGCCTTGTATTAAATTTTTACACTTTTTGGCCCAACAGATAAAACTTTATTGATATTCATAGAAAAAAAAACTAAAAAAATTGAAAAATGAAAATATCGGTAAACAGCTCAAAAAGAGTCAAAATATTTTCAAAATTGTATGGTGTATAGGAAATGCTAATATAAACATTCAGTGAAATTCTCATGTATCTATAGTTATTCGTTTATGAATAACAACAAAATAAGGAAATCGCTACATGAGAAATCGAGTGAACATCCAATGTTGTAAAAATTTGAATTTCAAACACTCATAAAAATTTAATTTGACTGTCCGGTAGAGATTTTTTTATTGATAAAGGTAGACAAACTTATGAGTAATCTTGTATTAGATTTTCAAATCTTAGATTTAAAAAGAAAAATTTTTACGAATTCTTAACTCAAAATAATTTGCTAATTTTCATGATTTTTCCATATTTTGTCAATTTTTGAACTTTAAATGCTTATAAAAAAAAACTGTGACTAACGATTTTTAATATTTTTCATATGCCTTTGAAACAATATACTAGGAGCCTTGTATTAAATTTTCAAGTTTTTTTAACCAACAAATAAAATTTTATCGATATTTCTAGAAAATAAACTAAAAAAAAATGAAAAATGAAAATGTCCCTAAACAGTTCAAAATAAATCAAAATATTTTGAAAATGGTATAGTGTATAGAAAATGCAAATATAAACAACCAGTGAAAATTTCATGTATCTACGGTCATTTGTTTTAAAGTTACACCAAAAACCAAATTCAATTTTCTGAAAAATTGATTTTGCATAAAAATTCCCGTTTTTCCTTAATTTTTCTTTTGTTTTTCCCGGCGCTTTTGAAAACTACTGGGAAATTTAAATTTTGACCTCCCCATGCACCAACGATATTCACTTTCCAATCGAACAAGATACTGAAGTCGAAAATCGAAGCATTATTTCGACTACTTATCGTGTACACAAACACAAAAAAAAAAAATAAATAAACACACATCATTGTAAAATCAATACATTCATCGTTTCACTCAGAATCTAAAAAAAAAAAAAAAAATGTCTCATTTATAGCTCTTAACGTCCAGAGCCTGCGAAAACATTCCATTGATTTAAACGACTCTGTGACACAAAAAAGCAACTTTTTATTACTCTCAGAAACATGGTTAGATAATGAAGAGCAATGTGAATTACCAAATTTCGATTGTATTGCTAAGTTTAAGCGTGATTCTGTTCGAGCAGGTGGAGTCGGAATTTATTACAATAAAAATGACAAGGCTAATATTGTAACATCGAACATGGATCTAATCCTGAAAAATTTTAACGCTTTGAGCCTGAGGTGTTCTAATGTTGGAGATGCAGTTTTTTCGAGATATATGTATAGAAAAAATTCAATCACAAACATACGTGACATATTTCAGCTACCACAAACCAATAGTTACTGTTATTGAGAATACTGATTAATTTCATAATAATTGCTTTGTACTTTTATAATGATTATAAAATAAAATACCATTTTTTCATAATACTCAGAAAAAATTTATTATAATTTTATTACCATGCGCGCGATATATTTATACAAGCATTCATTTCTCTCTCTGTCTCTCTCTCTCTCTCTCTATCTCTATTTATTCATATTTTTCTAACTATATATTATGTTTCCGCGTCTCGCATCACTGAACTTCGTTCCTGCCGAGTGTTCAACAACACTCACTGTTTTTTTTTATTTTTGTGTCTGTCATCACGTTTTAGGCCAGTAAAAGTGCTTGGATTTTCTTCAACAGTATCTTTTCTGATAGGAAAGAGAATCTAGGTAGTACTTTAGGGGGTCAAAAGTAAAAATTTCCCAGTAGTTTTCACAAGCACCGGGAAAAACAACATAAAAATTAAGGAAAAACGGGAATTTTTACGCAAAATCGGTTTTCCAAAAAATCGATTTTGATTTTTAGTGTAACTCTAAAAGAAATGAACGTATATACATTAAATTTTCACTGGTTGTTTATATTTGCATTTTGTATACACGATAACATTTTCAAAATATTTTGATTTATTTTGAACTGTTTAGGGACATTTTCATTTTCCATCTTTTTTTAGTTTTTTTTCTAAAAATATCAATAAAATTTTATTTGTTGGTTGCGAAAAGTTGAAAATTTAATAGAAGACTCCTATTATATTGTTTCAAAGGCAGATGAAAAATATTAAAAATCCTTAGTCACAATTTTTTTTATAAGCATTTAAAGTTCAAAAATTGACAAAATATGGAAAAATCACGAAAATTAGCAAATTATTTTGAGTTAAGAATTCGTAAAAATTTTTCTTTTTAAATCTAAGATTTGAAAATGTAATACAAGATTCCTTATAAGATTATCTACCTTTATCAAAAAAAAAAAATGTCTACCGGACA